CAAGGCCAAACTTTGTTTATTTATAAAGAGAGAAGGAGAGAGAGAGATTTTGTTCAATTGGTAGAGGTTTATTTCTTTTACTGAAGAACATTTTCATTGGTTTTGAAAAACAAGATAATGCTTGCATGTGAGCTAAAAGAATGGTATTTTACTTGGCTAGTTCATTCAGTGAATAGTCTTAGCTTCCATTTTAATGAGGAATAGTTCTGCTCAAACTTTTCTATCCATAAACTACCTACAGGAGATTATTGGTTTTGAAGTTTTGGGGTTGATCAATAACACAACATATGTACCTTCCAAGTGAGAAAGAAAAGGAAAATTTTCCACCCAAAGAAACGGCAGAACCATTTCCAAAAAAGCACAAATTATTCCTGTAATACTAATACCAGACTTGTATATCTCTGATGAGAACTAGAAATTCTTCAAAGACAGTCTTCTAACCCACAGTACAGAAATAGAAATTTCACCACATGAAGTAATTTAAGAATTTACAGTATGGCAGACACTAAATGTTAGAGACTAGAATATAATTCATTTCTCAATCTGAAGAGAGGTAAGATGCCAAGAAGTGGCTGAGTAATCGCTAAACTTCAGAAATGGGGATTCCAATATTAAGAAAAAGTTAATGGAATAGGTCTGAGAGTCAAAAATAAGTGAAATAAAATCTTCAGGTGTTTCATGGATACTCTTTAAAAATATTACTGCTAGGTCTTGCAAAGTACTGACCAAAATGGGACCCATGAGGGAAAGCCATAAATCAGGCCAGCTGAATGCCATTTTTTCTAAGCGAAGAAAAAACCAGATATTTCACATTTTAAATGCTGCCGTAGGAAGGCCACAAAGAATGGGCAATAAATAAGTAAAAGGGAAATTGGAATCACTGAGATTATTTAGAAAAGTAAATAACTAAGAGTATGGAATCAAACAATATTACTGTCTTCCACTTTATTTAATGCAGGAAGCCTGTGAAATACTTTGCTGGGTTTTGTGGCACCTTAGGGTTTATCTATAAGTGTATCTCTGTTTTTCACTTCTGGCAGGAAGCACTCTAGTTTGTTCTCATCAAGTAAGGACTTTCCAAAGTCAGCACCTTATTCCTTTTTAAACTGGCAGGAAACATTTCCTTGTCCTTTCATTTTCTAGGCAGCTCCCTTGAGCTGTCCTGCACTCACTGCTCCTTACTGACCTGTTGCCTTTCTAGAGCTGGACCACAGTGTATGTGTCAGTTTGGCCTTGATTCTTCTAACTCCACTAGCCCAGACAGTCTCGGTAAAAAAACAGAAGTGAGGTTATAGTGCAAGGTTTAAAGTCAGGCTTCTGTGTACAAGGGTGGAAGCAAAAGCTTAAAACGAGCAAAAAAACCCCAGATAAGTCATTAGGTGCAGTGTTTTGAGGAAAATGCAGTGGGCTTAGCTCAGCTGTTGGCAACAGTATGCAGTCTGTCATTATAAGCAGATAATGACAGGGATAAATCTATAAACAGATAAATTACTGGAGATAGAATACTCCACTAGTCTTGTAGCTATATATTTTTAAAGGCTCTAGAGAGATCAAGGAAATTAAAAATGGCTATGTATGTCAGACAAACTGGTTGAAACAACAATAAATAAAATAAATCACCAGGACTATAATATCATGATACAATAGTGTATAGTTAACACTATTTCTGCAAAGTAAGTTTACATTTAACTTGACTTTTTTAGTATGTGTCCGTACAGCAGAGTAAAAGAGAAAGCATGTCATCATGTTTTTCGACTTGCAATAGTAATTTTCCAAATCTCTCCTGAAAACATACAAACAAAACTAAAAGCACAAATTGACATTGCAGTTTATCAAGTGGCAAAATGAATTTCAGAGCTACTGCCCCTAGCTGCTTCGATCTCCTTACACACAGTTCACCTTTCTCTCCATGGTGCCAATGCAATTGCCTGTGTGGCTATAGGTTAAAAGTAATATTACACATATTACTCTGGAACAAAATCTACCTATCAGACAGAAACCAGAGAGAAGTAGACTGCCACCTTTTATCATGGCTAATGCACTTAAGGGTTTAATACTATATGCTGTACAGTATGTCTGTTAAATACATGGAAGAGTCAGCGTTGAGACAGCAGCTCTTGAGTATGATGCTAGGTGCTGTGGGTTAGCAGAATTCATACAGGATGACAAAAGCAAACTGAATGAAGAGGCAGTACCAACTTAAATTTCAGTCTTGGTGAATGCTATTTAGTGTTCAGCAGAGGTGTAGAGGTTCAGGTCAGGAAAGGCAAAATGTGGCAAATTTGGTTCGTTTACTCAAGTGGATTTTGGAACCCACTGACACCAAGAACATTCTCTCAGCGAACGAATGACATGCTGAATGGTACTGAAGGAGAATTGAGATAATGCCAGTTTTGGGGGTTTTATAATAATTAATGATAGGAGTTTTTAAAAGGCCTGTTTCCAGTTTAAGACAATCTCCATTATGAGTCAGGCTGAGTCCATCACGGTGAGAAGCTTTATTCTATTTTTAACTTGGTGTGGCATTGCATGCACTTTTCTTAGACAATTTCAGATGATCCCCCAACTGGATAATCAATATATGATGCAATGTGGGAGTTTCAATGGGCTCGTGTTAGGCTCTGTATCTCTTCTTCTGTAGGCTTTCTTTGGAGAATTTGCAGTAGTGGTGGATTTCCCAGCTTGTCCATGACTCCCAAGAGGGTCATGGTTTCTGTCATAGAAGGCATTTCATGAAAGTTGCATTCCATGATATGCAGAAAATGTGTGTACTCTGAATACGATTTTGATATTATCTGCTCTGCATAGTGTAAGTCTAGCTAATTTCACTGAAGTGAGGACCCGTGCTGTCAAAGAGAGACATGACACTGAGATAAAATACACTGGATAGTTGAGAGTTCTTTGTGAAAATGTAGCAAGGCTGCCTTCACTTACTTTTAATGTTTAGCGTTCATGATCCCAGAACTAGCACTGGAAGCCTTAATGAAAGCAATGAAACTGTAAGGCAGTTTGATTTTAAGAAGGCATTACCGATGAGCGTTCCAATAGGGTGAGGTAGCCTGAAGGATATGAAGAATAGGCTTTGGAAGGAACCAGTCTTAGAAATTACATCTGAAAAGATACTGCTTGTTGTTGACACTGCATTCTTCCTTGCTTGGGTTTTAGATTTAAGAGGGCTGTGAAGTCCTTATCATGGCTTACTCTTTGCATCATACTTGATTTACTGCTTCCTGTTTGCCAAGTTCAACTCAATAGCTGCCTTTTGCACAAAGATACTCTAGATGTCTTCTAAATATCTGCTACCCTTTTGAGTGCTGTGCAGATTACGGCAATATAGAGTTTAACAAAATTATTTATGTATGACACAAGGAAAATAAAAATAGAACTGTATATAACAGAATTTTATACATCTGCATTGAAGAAAATACAAAGCCAGATCCTGTTATCTTTACTCATATGAAGTAAGAATTTTGCTAATTCAGAATTGTATTGTGTATTAGCAATACAGTGTATTGCTATCAAACTAATATTCTGCCACAGAGACAGGCAGCAGATCATCTTCTCTTAGTGACTTAGCACTCACACAAAGTACCGTGGCCAGAATTTTCCAAAGAACTTGGTTTCTGCAGTTAGCTTTAGATATATTTTAGTTAAAGGTTATCACTTTTTCTGGCAGCGATACAAATTGCCAGGTTTTCCTGGCATTCCTCCTGGTAAGGAATTTTGAAGATGTAGCCCAAAAGTATAACTGTGGGCACTCAGAAGTACTGACCATCCATCTTAGAATATCCTGGTTGCAACTGAGAAGAAACGTTGGAAATGTCATGGTACTATTCAGGAAATATCTCTGCATGTACATTGATCACTAATTTGCTTTCTTTCAAAAAAAAAAAAAAAAGGAAGTGAAGAAACAAGTAAAATATAATCGGTGCTTTCAAAATCCACTGTGAAACCCAGGCAGTGAGATAAGAATGTGGTCTTAAAATATTACACCTCACTTACTTGGGCTTTACTCTTCCTTCTCCCTTCCCAAAAAAGCTATAGCAGGAAAGTGATCCATAAATCCCTGTGTCCACTTTGTGGCATGGTGCCTCAAATGATTAATGCTGTCACGTTTTGATTAAAAAAAAAGTCCATAAAAAAAATAAAATCAGTTTCATGAATTGAATGTTGCTTCCTTAACATTTTTCATCCTGAACTCATTTAGTAGAGGAAATGGATATTTCATCAGACATGGATTTGACGTTCCATCACATTATACAGTAAACAGTACAAATGATGTTATTTTTTTTAAATGGAGAAGCTGGAAAAGCTAAGACAGTAGCTGCTGTAAGGCACTGGTTATCTCATTTAAACAGATATTAAATGTGGGTGCCAGTGGTGTGATCATCAGCTGCTTCCCACTTTGTGAATAAATTGCTTAGAAGGAGTCTTTTTGCCTACCAGATGTGACCTAGCTTTAGATTTCCAAAGGCAAAAAAAAAAAAAAAAGTCTATTGTGTAAAAAACAATTGTGAGTAAAATGCATGGTAAATGAGCTTATCTCACTTTTCCAGGTGTTTAAGCTAATATGTTATGGAATTACAGCTTCATTTATGAAAAATAATTGAGGAAAATGTTCCAGCAAATCAAATTTGGATAAAGGCTTAGGATAGTTATTGTGTTGTTAGCAAGTTTCTAAATGGCAGAAAGAAAAGGGAGCCAGCACAGATAATGAAAATACAGAAATTTGTGAATCTTTGAAGAGGCTCTTATAAAATGGTAAGGGCTGGCTGTGGTATCCCACCTGTGTTGTGGTCTTGCAAAATGTCATGGAACAATATGAAGAATTATATTCCTGCCAATGCATATGAAAGCAGGATTTTTTCTTAAAAGATCAGGCATTGATATCTGTTGGCCCTGGATAAGACTAATGACATTCGTTGGTTAAATGTATAAACATCGAAAGAATAACATCCTTGTTCTTTTTCTCTCCTCTTCTCCTTTTACTGATGCCATAGGGGCTGCCACTCGAAAACCGGACCCAGAGCCTGAGAAGCAGACCGACCATACTGTTAAAATTGCTGGAGTCATTGCAGGCATCTTGCTGTTCGTCATTATATTTCTGGGGGTTGTGCTGGTAATGAAGAAAAGGTGAGAAATTAGTAGATGTTTTCTATGTATATATTCATATTACAGCATCTCCTACAGCAATTCTCAGTTTGATATTGGCAAAAGTATCCAGCCCCCTTTGTGGCCTTTGCCACAGAGTTTAGGAAGTACTGCTCCGTCCCTTCCCCAAAGATTTGTTGGGTTTTTATAAAACCACAGTGTCTTTTTCACCCACAGTATTTTCTAAGAATTAAGGTTTGTGGCTTTGTTATAGAAGCAAAACAACTTGAGGTTAATGATTCTAGCACTTTATGCATTAGTACTGCATGATGGACTCTAATAATAGAACAGTATTTCTATCCTGAAAGTGTGAGGCTCCACTCTGTTCAACAGATCAGCTGAAAGTTAGATGTAGTTTCATTCTTGAGTGTACTAGAAATCCTCGGTCTAGCAGGAACTAGAGCTAAGGTAATTTGTGCTAAGAATGGGGTCTATATTGTTCTGCATAAACTTCATTCCCTGAAAACAAATGAAAATGTTACAATGGCGCTGAATGTTTCCAAATTCTGGTTCAACACACACACACACACACACACATTGAGATTGTTTTGCTTTGAATATCATTTGAAAACTGCTACAACATTAGAAGTGTAAGGCTTTTAAACCTGGTTGCCTTTCTCAGCACTGTGAAAGGAAAAACAATAAAGGGGAAAATATCTCATAGGTAAGAAAAAAATCCATATGATTATAGAGGCTAAGTCTAGGCTGGGAGAAATTCATTAACAAATAGAATTAAGGTTTTAAGTTGTGTCCTGAGTGATGCGAGATCTGCAGCTGTAGAGGTGGTGTTGGGAATGTGTGAGAGCTGTGTAAAGGAGCTGAGTCATGAGTTCTCCTTCCATGTCTGCCATACTCTTTTTAGTGTCCCATAACGCCTCACCTCCTTGCCATTTTCTTCCTTTGTGAGCATTCTTGACCTGATTTTGCTCATCCCAACACTATGTGATTTAATTGTACATTAACTAGTTTGGGAGGTCTGAGATAGTCCAAACCCCTGAGCTGCCCGAAATTCTTCCAGAATTTGAACAGTGGAGGTGCACAGCTAAGGAGGCAGCTGCCTGACAGTGCCTCAGGGCAGGCAACAGAAGTAGCTGCTTTTCACTCTCCTTGAAGACAGAAGTGGGGCCATGAGTTAGAAGGGCTCCTTGCAGAGAAAGGTGAGCTGTGGCCAGGGCTGAGGGTTAGGTCGTTGACAAGAGATAGGTAAAGCAGTCAAAAGCTGCCATACAGAAGAGATTCAGTCTTTAAGCCCCAGGGCAGGTCTGGCTGGGGCAATGAAACAGACCCAGTAACCAAATCTTCTCAATAAAGTACAGTGTAGCAGAGTTGAAATCTGTTCTGACTTTGCAGTATTTCTTTCTTCCCACTTCTAATTTCTTGCAACATTCATGCCTTCAATTTTAACAGTTGAACTCCCAGACTCCTCCCTAGGGCCAGATGCAGCATGCAGGCGTGCAGGGAGGAAGGCTTCTCACATTGTCTGGCCAATCCTTCACACAATTCCTGACCAGTGTTCATCACCCTCTCTCTTCCAGTTCTGAGCCTCTCCTTAAGCATTTGCGCCAAAGGTAGAATATATTCACCTATGAGAGACAAGTTCTTAGTCTTGAAGGGAGAGCATTGCAAAATCATCCAAATTAGTTTCAAAGTAAATAAGGTGTCAGGATCTCTGGCTAAATGGATGCTATGCCAACTCTTGCTTCATTCTTTGGGGAAACGCTCTTTGATAATCTAATTGTTAGAGGCAGAAAGGCTCAAATCCTAAGTGTTTGCGTGTTAATACAGAAGGATACTTGATTTCTTCAGTCTACCATAGCACAGTAATTATTATTCATAGTAATTCTGTTGTTAGAAGAAAAGTGCATTATGTGAGCTTCTGTGGGACTTGGAATAAATCTGCTTGTGACAGAGATTAAACTATTGAAAGTACAAGTCCAGAAACTCTGTTACCAAATACGTACAATTTCATTGTGTAGTACAGAAAGAATGATACCCATAACTTAAACATATCCCAGAATGATGCTACAGCCTTGAACAAAACAAACTGTGAAATGAGTTGAAGTGAATATTAAAAAGTAAGAATGGTTCATCTGTGTAACAGGATGTGACTAGGCTTTAATGAGAGTTTCAGAAGGTAGGTATATTGTGTCCCAGACCTCTAAAGCAGATGCTGTAGCATAGAAGGTCTTGAATACAATTACACTCATGACTTAAGCAAAAGATGAACCGATTATTCAATAAATTGTTATTGGTGCATTAATTCACTATGCTGCTGAGAGCCCCTATGGTCTCACCTTGGTTCAGTTACTGTGTATACATTATGCATTTGAAGAAAATGTATAAATCATTCTGCAAGCTTAGTATAACTGTAGTATTTTTGCAGTTTTATGATACTTTAGGTGCTACTTTGTGAAACAATCTTATCAAGCTAGCGTGTCTACTGCACTTGATCATTTTGTATCATTTACTTTATCAGGAGTTTTACTGGCGTAAAGATCTGATTGAAAAAATAAAATAGCATCTTGTAATTCAGTGGCACCTTTCCCCTGAGAAGCACTTTTCTCTCTGCGCTATTATGTGCAGACTCTTTGGGCTACAATGCTAGGTTTTGCTGCGCTGAGTCTACGTGCTCTGAAACTTGTCTTACTTGGAGTTGGCTACAGCAATATCCCATTCAAACACCACTATCCCAAGGCATATACTGTCTGTTATTCATTCTTTCATGGAAATGGGTCCTTGTAGACTTGATCTCCAGATCTCACCGGTAGGTTAAATTTACTCTGTCTCTGGGGCTTCACAGTGCTTAATTAACTTAATTTCAAACCATTTCTTTCCATTATCAAGAGATTTGGAAAGTGGTTTTACTGTACATGATAACCATGTCTTTGTCCTTTAGTAGCCACCTCAGTTCAGCCAGGACCATTCTTCACTTGGTCGGTGCAAAGCACCACAGATTTTAACAAATCAGTCTCTTCTTTGACTTTGATAATTCAGTAGCCAAGTAGAGAAGACCACCATTCAAAGCAGAGTTTTCAGTGCAGCACAGACATGCTTTGGATATGGTTGCTATCAAAGCACTAGGTAGAGAAGTTCTGCAAATGTCCATAGGCATTAGGCATCATTATTAATTTCACTATATAATGGTCTTCTGAAGTAGTTGTATTGTAAACTGTGTCACAGAGAGATTAGGTGGCCTAACTATTCAGTTTATCATATGGAGTCACTAGTGAGGGTAGGAGCACCATGGACACTAAAACATTTTCTGCATGGACGCTCAGTCTTTGACTAAAGTAAAGCAGATTTGTACGCCTGTCACTTGAGTCGGGGAAAGAGCATTAGTGCTTTCCTGGTTTTCTCCCCACTTGATTGTTCAGAGGTCTTTATCTGTTCTATTCTGCCTTTATCCATTCAACCACATTCTGGCATAAAGATGTCATGTAATGTGGACTAGGAACCTGCCAGCTATTCCTGATACCAATATGGTCATATCAATGAGAAGATTCTTCTCTGTGAAGTCAGAATAATGCCAGTAGGCTTTTCTCTCCTCAGCTGTGCTCTGAATCTCTCATGTAAGAGTTAACACAAAGTCAGTGGAAACCAATACATGTGTTTCCACAATATTGCTCCACAATAAAGTGGATTTTGAATCTGATCCTGAATATTAAATCTCAGGCAAGGCCCTTGATCTCTGCCAGTCTTTGATATACCTGCATGTAAAAAATAAAAAAAATAAAAAATGCAGCAAGCAAGTTCACCTTTTGGTCAACTTAAAGTAGAGCAGTGAAAATGAGAGAACTGTTCCCACAACCTTTGGAAAAGCAATAGTAATTACATAAAGACTTGAAAAAATCAGAACCTTACTGCTTTATTCTTTTCTTTTTTCTTTTTTTTTTCCCTCTTTTTTCTTTTATATTCTATTTCAGCTAAGTTTAAAAAATATGCAGAAGTTGAGAAATTGGATTTATTGGTCCAAGGCTTTCTTAAAAGTATATATGTCTTTGCGGCAGGGGTTTCTTTTAGGGCAAACATCTTGCTGCTGTGTTTCTTTTAGGGCAACCATCTTGCTGCTGCAGTGGGAGTGCAGTAAGGAAGCAGTTACTAAAATTAAATTGCAATGGCTTCTGCTTCGGTTGTAGAATGGAGTTTTTCTGATCATTGCATTTCTCCATCAAAAGGTTGTTTTCTTTTGCCTATCTTTAGTTTCTATTTTCAGCTGTCTCTATGCCTGAGCCTTGCAGTAGTTTCTAACGTATGTAATTGTGGCATCTGTTTAACTCAGAGGTCCAGGTTCTTGGCACTGGATAAGGAAGGCTTTTGTACTTGGTGGAGCTGGGCTGAGAATGCATTGCTCCTATTCCCTGAAAGCAAATCAGGCTGTTCAGTTATACACCTTTGCCAACAATTTCAAGCAGTTAGGATAGAAATTGGAGATAATAGGGCTGAAGGAAAACTCCAGTCTTCTCCCAGCACTACCCCTGAATCTTGTTTTTCTCTCTAGGCCAGCTACAAAAGAAAGACAGTGAAAGACCTCACTGTGGTAATTACATAGTTCCAGAAGTTTTCCCTTCTAGTGGGACAATCCTCCTGTGGCCAGCTGTGTTGGTTTTGATAAATTCTGTAGTGGGGCCTGATTCTACAAGTGATATTTATGAAATTTATTTATGTCTTCAGTCCTGAAGGATATAAAAGTGCTTTATGTTATCTCACTATACACAGAAACAATTTCTTGACATAAAATAACTTCTTTACTGGGAAGTGACTGAAGAGCCATGCAAAGAAGAAAATTTGGCCAAAATCTTTGGGTCACTCTCTTTAACAGAAAAAGTCTTTTCATACATGTAGAGAGAGTAAGTTTGTATACATTATGTAGGAAGTAAAATGGCACTTGTCCATATTTCTTAAAAAAGCTAAATCTTTTTAATTATGAATGGTGCTTTTGCATGTGGCCTGAGGACTTGCAAGTCTAAAACTTTCAGTAGGTTTTTA